GGAGGGGTCAAGGCGGTGCTCACCGGCACGGGCAAGATGAGGTCGGAGTTTCCCGCCAGCTGGGCGATGTGTCGGTACAAAGGCAAGTCACGCTCAGCTGCCCCGGCTTTGCACACGGCCAGGGACACGCCCAGGATGGCATTGGCGCCAAACTTGGCTGAGAGAGAGAGAGAGAGAGAGAGAGAGAGAGAGAGGAGTCCCCTCTCCATCCATCCGGTCTCCCCCAAAGATCTCAGCCAAAGAAAGAAACGTGAGGACTCGAACTCACAGCCTCATGCTCTGGCTGGACTTCACTGCTCAAGGCTGATGCTCCTACCTCTTGAGCCACAGCGCCACTGCAGGCTTTTTGGTGTTTAACTTGGTCTCTGGGCCTTTTCTGCCCCCATCTGGCTTTCGAACTGGGATCCTTCCCCCCCCTCCCGCCCCCCAAGTCTCAGCCTGGATTACACTCAGGAGCCAGGACACCAGGCCCAGCTCTACCCCTGGAGGAGGCCCCGCCCACCCTGACCACGCCCACCACACGCCCCGCCCACCACCCTGGCCCCGCCCCTGCTCACATTTGTTCTCTGTCCCGTCCAACTCCAACATCAGATTGTCTAGTTTCTCCTGCTCCACCACGGAAATACCCTGCGGACAGAGCCCCCCGTCACCCAGGGGTGCGCGCGAAGGCACAGGGCCCCCAAACCCGCACACACACAGCTTCCCCAGGCCCCTGTAGCAGAATCATGGCAACTTTTGTGTGGGTTTTTTTTTTTTTTTAGTTTTTGCCATCCTTGGGGCTTGAACTCAGGGCCTGAGCTTTTTTCTTTGCTCAGGGCTGGCGCTCTACCACTTGAGCCACAGCGCCGTCACTTCTGGCTTTTTTCTTGGTGGTGGTGGGAGTGAGTCACTGGAGATAAAAAGAGTCTCATAGACTTTCCTGCCCAGGGGCTGGCTTCCAACTGCGATCCTCAGATCGCAGCCTCCTGAGCTGCTGGGATTACAGGCATGAGCTTCAGGTGCCAGACAGGGACCTGAAGGAACTCTCCTAGAACAGGTGGCAATAATCGATCGTTTCCATCTCTTCCCCGCTTCTAACTGTGATCCTTAAAAGATCAAGAGTCTCATTCTTCTCTCCTTTCCAGAATTCTGGTCCTGTGTCCCCAGAAAAAAAAAAAAGGGGGGGGGGGGTCTTACTGAGCTGATGAGGGCTGGTGCCAGCGTACTGTTGATATGATCCACGGCTTTGAGGACACCTAGGGGGGAGGAGAATGGCTAGACTAGGCCGGGGGCAAGCCTTTCCCCAGAGGGAATAGGGGAGCAGCTGGGCTGGGGGGGGGGAGGAGGGGGAGTGGGAGGGGGAGGGGAGAAATCACGCTGATCGCACAGACTGGCCAAGACAAAGGCTTCACCTTTGCCTAAATAGCGCTGTTTATCTCCATCTCTTAACTCCAGGGCTTCATAGATGCCCGTAGAGGCTCCACTGGGAACAGCAGCCCGGAACAAACCTGGGAAAAGACAAGGCATGAGGAGACAGCAGGGGTTCCTGGCGCCAGTGCTGGGATTCGAACTCAGGGCCTAGCGCACCATCTTTTGGTTTTTTCTGTTCCAGGCCTGGTAGTCTACTGCTTGAGCCACAGCTCCATTTCCAGCTTTGTGCTGGCTGAGTGGAGATGAGAATCTCACGGACTCTCTTGCCTGCGGCTGGCTTTGAGCCTCAATCCTCAGATCTCAGCCTCCTGAGTAGCAGGCATTACAGGCGTGAGCTACAGCCCTCTGACTCCTACTTTTTTTTTTTTTTGGTGCCAGTGCTGGGGTTTGAACTCAGGGCCTGGGCGCTGTCCAATGGGGCTTTTTTGCTCAAGGCTGGCGCTCTACCACTTGAGCCACAGCTCCGCTTCTGTCTCATTTCTTTCTTTCTCTTTTTTTCGGGGGGGGGGGTTAATTAGAGATACGAGTCTCATGGATTTTTTTCCTGCAGGGTCTGGCTTTGAGCTGAGATCCTCAGATCTAACCTCCCGAGTAGCTGGTATTACAGGCGTGAGTCACTGACTGCCTTCTAAACTCAGCCTCCAGCCTTTCCAGCCTCTCCCACACTGTACTACCATCACAGGGCGTGCACACACACACACACACACACACGGGCGTGCACACACACGGGCGTGCACACACACACACCGGCGTGCACACACACGGGCGTGCGCACACGCGGGCACGCGCACACACACGGGCACGCGCACACACGCGGGCACGCGCACACACGCGCTGCGCCAGCTGCATCTGCAGCAGCCTCCCCCATCCATCTGAAGCACCCGGGCACGAGTGGGAAGCCACGCACACACAGCAGTGCCGGCAGCACAGCCCAGGCAGGGCGCGGCGGGCAGAGGCCGGCCGTGGCTCGGGCCCCCGCCACCCCCGGTCCAGCCTGCCATCCCTCCTGTGCGGGGGAGAAGCCCCCCACGCCCCCCGCGTCCCCCGAGCCGGCCCCGCTCGGCAGAGCAGCCGTTACCCTTGGCGGTGTGCAGATCGACCTCCACCGTGGGGTTGCCGCGCGAGTCCAGGATCTCGCGGGCCCAGATTTTCTGTATGGACATGATGACGGCGGCCTCTCCTTGGGTGGAGAAGAAGACGGTGAGAGGCCTGGAGGGGCGTGGCCCTGCGGCGCCGGGCGGGGCCTCGGGTGGGCGTGGCCCTGCGGCGCCGGGCGGGGCCTCGGGTGGGCGGGGCCTCGGGTGGGCGGGGCCGGCCGCTGCGGCGGGCGGGGGCGGGAGCGCGGGCTGCGGTCGCGGAGGGGCTCCCCCCCCCAAGGTCAAAGCGGTGAGGAGGGGGGCACTGCAGTGGGGGGCGGGGCACCCCCGGACGAGCCGCAGTGGGGGAGGGAGCGGCCGCGACGCCGGGGTCCCCCAGATCGCCCCCCACCCACGCAGCGCCCCCACACCTCGACCGGAACCCCCAACCCAAACGGCCCCGAGCCGGGCCCGAGCCCCCGGGCTGCGGGGTGCGGGGCGGGGCCCCGGGGAAGTGGGGGCGGGGAAGACACCCCAGTGCCCGGCAGGGCCGGGACGCGGGGAGCGGGCGGGGCGGGCGGGCGCGGGCGCGGGCCGGGGACGGGGGCTGAGGCGTGGTGGGCGCCGCGGAGGCCGGGATGGGGCAGGGGATGGCATACCGGGGATGGGGCGCCGGGGATGGGGTGCAGGGCTGGATGGGGTGCAGGGCTGGATGGGGTGCAGGGCTGGATGGGGTGCAGGGCTGGATGGGGCGCCGGGGATGGGGCGCCGGGGATGGGGTGCAGGGTTGGATGGGGTGCAGGGCTGGATGGGGTGCAGGGCTGGATGGGGTGCAGGGCTGGATGGGGCGCCGGGGATGGGGCGCCGGGGATGGGGTGCAGGGCTGGATGGGGTGCAGGGCTGGATGGGGTGCAGGGCTGGATGGGGTGCAGGGTTGGATGGGGTACAGGGCTGGATGGGGTGCAGGGCTGGATGGGGTGCAGGGCTGGATGGGGTGCAGGGTTGGATGGGGTACAGGGCTGGATGGGGTGCAGGGCTGGATGGGGTGCAGGGCTGGATGGGGTGCAGGGTTGGAGGGGGTGCAGGGCTGGATGGGGTGCAGGGTTGGAGGGGGTGCAGGGCTGGATGGGGTGCAGGGTTGGAGGGGGTGCAGGGCTGGAGGGGGTGCAGGGCTGGATGGGGTGCAGGGTTGGAGGGGGTGCAGGGCTGGATGGGGTGCAGGGTTGGAGGGGGTGCAGGGCTGGAGGGGGTGCAGGGCTGGATGGGGTGCAGGGCTGGCTGGGGCTCCGGGGATACCGGGGTGCAGGGCTGGCTGCGGCTCCGGAGCGGCGCAGGGCAGGTGCGCGGCTCCGCGGGCCGGGGGCGGGGGCGGCGGGGCCGGGGGACAGAGGCCGGGGCATCACCTGGGGGCTGCGGATCAGCCGGTGGAGGCGGCGGCGGCGGCGCAGGGAGCGGAGGGAGGAGGGACGCGGGAGGCGGGAGGAGGGAGGAGGGGAGGAGGAGGGAGGCGGGAGGAGGGAGGAGGGGAGGGGGGAGGGAGGAAGGAGGGGGGAGGGGGGAGGGGAAGGGGAGGAGGGGAGGGAGGCGGGAGGAGGGGAGGGAGGAGGGAGGAGGGGAGAAGGAGGAGGGAGGCGGGAGGAGGGGAGGGGGGGAGGGGGAGGGGCGGGGCCTGCGGCCCGCCGCGCACGTGACCCGAGCCCCTGAGTCAGGAGCCGCCGCACGTCGAGCGCGGAGGGGGGGGCGGGGGCGGCCCCACCGGGTTCTGGGGTCCCCTCCCCGCTGCCTCTGTGACCCACAAACCATCAGACTCACAAGGACCAAAAAAGCTTCTTTATTCGAAACCCGATCGTCCCTGACCCCCCCAGGCTCCCCTCCCTCCATCCGGCCCTCCCCCCCCCCCGCACCCCGCACCCCCGCGCCCCCCGCACCCCGGGCCCCCCCGCACCCCGGGCCCCCCCGCACCCCGGGCTCCCCCGCACCCCGGGCCCCCCGCACCCCCAGGGGTTCCAGCTCGCGGGTGACTCGGGTCCCGGCGGAGCTCAGGAGGTCTTGGGGGGCTGTCATGGTCTCCTGAGGAGAAACGGCACGCGTGGAGCCTCTGCCCCCCCAGTGCCAGCCCGGCCCCTCCCGCCCTGACCTCTCCCCCTGACCCACCCGGCCTCCCTCCCCGGCCCCCCCACTCCTGCCCCCCCCAGGCCCAACTGCTCGCCCCTTCCCCGCCCCCATCCCAAACTTGAGGCGTCCATTTCCACGAGTGCCCCGCCCCCCGCGCGGCAGTCCCCGCCCTCCTGGGCATCTGACCTCTGACCTCGGGTCCTAAGCCTTCATCAGATCTGCCCACCCCCCACCCCCCCTTCTCCCGGGCCTGGCCAACACCGGCGGCTCCCGCCTGTCACCCCAGCCACTCAGGAGGCTGAGATCCTGAGGATCGCGGTTCACAGCCGGCCCGGGCACCACTGAAAGCCGGAGCTGGCGCCCAGGCCGTGGCGTCCAGCCCCTCACCGTGCTCCGCGGCTAGACCAGGGGCACGGAGGACGAGTCGTGCTCCAGGTCGTTCTCCGTGTCCGCCTCCTGCTCCAGCTCCTCCTTCAGCCGCTGGCGCACCTCGTCGGCGTCGGCGCGCTCCTCCTCCTCGTAGAAGTCCTTGTCCAGCCGCTCCAGGTGCGCGATCTGCACCAGGGCCTCCTGGCGGTAGTCCGTCTCGTCGGCGCACGGGTTTTCCATCAGCACCAGCGCGCGCAGCTTGGGCAGCTCGCGCAGCTTGGCGATCTCGCCCAGGCTGCTCACCATGTTGCCTCTGCGGGCACCGGGACCCGGCTTCACCCGCTGGGAGCGCGCCCCGGGCCCGGCCTGCTGGACGTACAGGCGTCTGCGCCCGCGCCCGCCCTCCCCGCGCTCAGCCCCGCGCCGGGCCGCGCAGCCGCGGCCGCGCCCGTGGGATGGCCGCTCGCATTTCCGCTCGCCTGTGTGCCGAGACTGGGGCTGGAGCTCAGGGCCTGGGCAGCGCCTCTGGCAGCCGGCGCTCTACCACCTGAGCCGCCCATCTACTGACGTCCGGCGGGGGGAGGGAGAGCAAACTGGAGACCAGAATCCCACGGACTTTCCTGCCCAGGCTGGCCTCTAATTGAGATCCTCAGACCTCAGCCTCCAGCGTCGCTGGGATGACAGGCCGGAGCCCCGGTACCGGGCAAGTCTGGTCTTAATCATGGCGGACTCAGTGAATGTAAGCACTTCGGGGCCACAGATTCTGAGGGTCTCCGTGCAGAAGGTGTGGAAAGCAGGAAGGAGGGGGAAGTCGGGACCTAGCTGGGGGCTGAAAAAGATGAGAGGCGCCGGGCGCGGGGGCTCCCGCCTGCCATCCCAGCCACTCAGCAGGCTGAGACCCGAGGATCACGGTTCACAGCCGGCCCAGAGAGGAGAGTCTGCGAGACTCTTTTCTCTCCAACTAATTAGCAAGACAAGGACGAAGTAGAAGTGTGGCTCCAGGGACAGCGCCCAGGCCCTGAGTTCAAGACCCAGGTCTGGCCAACACAATAACTGGCCGGGTGGAGAGCCACGGCAGATTAAGCGAGTGGGCGTGGCTTTCACGAGTGGGCGTGGCTTAGATGGATGAGCTAGGCTGGGGGAAACAGGCAGGGCTTTGAGTGGGCGGGGTTAGGTGAGTGGGCGGGGCTCCGGGGCGCCTACCGCAAGTTGAGGTACTGCAGGGATTTCATCTCCTTGGAGAAGCCGCTGAGATTTTCGATCTGATTGTCTCGAAGATGCAGTGTGGTGAGGCTGCTTAGATTCTCCAAGCCTTCCACCTTCTTCAGCATGTTCTGAGCCTGGGCCCGGGAGACACGGATGAGGCAGCGGGCACTGCTGCTCCCGCCTGCAATCCCAGCTACGCGGAGGCTGAGATCTGAGGATCGAGGTTCAGAGCCAGCCGGGGCAGGAAAGTCTGTGAGACTCTGATCTCCCATGAGCCACCAGAAAACCAGGAGTGGTGCTGTGGCTCAAGTGGTAGAGCGCCCGCCTTGAGGGAAAAGCCCAGGGACAGCGCCCAGGCCCTGAGTTCAAGCTCCAGGATGGGCAAAATTTAAAAGTGCACTGAAAACTTACGGTCCTGAGTTCAAGCCCTAATCCTGGCACATGCGTATACACACACACACACACACACACACACACACACACAACCAGTAGCTTTCTTAGCCTGCTCCCTGGGCCCCAGTAACACATTTTGCTGCCCTCACCATCAAAGCAAATCATCTCTGTTCTCATCTCAGGTGATGTCTGTTTTTCTGGGGCTTGAACTCAGGACCTGGGCACCCCTGAGCTTTTTCACTGAGATGGTGCTCTACCACTTGAGTCAGCACACCACTTCAGGCTTTTTTTCTGTTTAATTGCAAAGAAGTCTCCCAGTTGTCCCTTCCTGGGCTGGCTTTGAACTGTGGTCCTCAGATCTCAGCCTCCGTATAGCTGGGATTACAGGCGTGAGCACCAGCCCTTGGCTACGGTGTGTGTTTTAACCTTGAGTCTCCCCCCCTTGGGTACCAAGTTAATTGTCACCGTGGTGATGTCAGCAACTGAAATTTCTGGAACCCCACACAATGCCCGCTCCTCACACCAACTAGCCAGGACAGTGGACTACCAGAAAGAGGTTCTTCAGCTTGGGCAGGTTGATCCCAGTGGTGCTTTCCAGATGGTTCCCCCTAAGTTCCAGGGTGTGCAGATTGCTCAGCTTTTCCGGGTCCAGGTTCGTCACCACGCGGATTTGGTTCCCTTGGGGAGAGCAAGAATAAGAATCATGAAGCACTCAGTGCCAGGCACCGATGCTCATGCCTGTAATCCCAGCTACTCAGGAAGCTGAGATGTGAGGATCACAGTTCAAAGCCAGCCCGGGCAGGAAAGTCCATGAGACTTTTATCTCCAGAAAACCAGAAGGGGGGGCTGTGGCTCAAGTGCTAGCATTGAGCAGAAGAGCTGAGGGACAGCGCCCAGGCCCTGAGTTCAAGCTCCAGGACTGGCAGAGAGAGACAGAGCTCGGGGGAGGGGGAGGGAAGGAGAGAGGAGGCGGGTGGGGGGGGCGGGGCCCAGGCTACCTTTGAGGTCGAGGCTGCCGAGGCGCGGGTGGGTGATGCCCTCCGTGTCTGTGATCTGGTTGTAGGCGAAGCTGGCCATCTGCAGGTAGGGCAGCTGGTTGAGCCTGGCGCTGCGCAGCTGGTTCCCGTCCGCTTTGAGCCACAGCAGGTGCGTGAGCGAGTTGATGGGCGACAGGTCGCTGATGTGGTTCTCCGAGATGTCCACGTAGCGCAGGTGGATGAAGGTCCTCAGCAGGCTGATATCCGTGAGGTCCCTGGGAGGTGGAGGACAGAGGCAGAGCCGGCCGGCGGGTTCGAATCCCGGCCCCCCCCTGGCACGAAAGGAATCAACATCTGGAGATGGGGGGAAAATGGTACCAAGAGGCCAGGACCTCAGGCTGGGCAGGTGGCTCAGGGGGAGAGTGCTCGCCCAGCACACAGGAAGCCCTGGTTCCATTCCTCAGCACCACATATGCAGAAAAAGCCAGAGTGGTGCTGTGGCTCAAGTGGTAGAGCGCCATTCTTGAGCAGAAGCTCAGGGACAGTGTCTAGGCCCTGAGTTCAAGGCAGGACTGGCAAAAAAACAAAGAAAGAAAGAAAGCTGGGCACTGGTGGCTTCCGCCTGTCATCCCAGCTACTCAGGAGGCTGAGATCTGAGGATCCTGGTTCAAGGCCATCCCACACAAGAAAGTCCTTGAGACTCTTCTTCAATGAACCACCAAAAAAGCCAAAAAAAAGTGGAGTTGTGGCTCAAGTGGTAGAGCGCCAGCCTTGAACAACAAAGCTCAGGGACAGCGCCCAGGCCCCGAGTTCAAGCCCCACGAGCACCACCACCCAATAAAGCAGGAAGTGGCACAGGGGCTCCAGAGGTAGAGCGCCAGCCTTCTTCATGGGGAAAGCTGAGGGACAGCACCCCAAAATGTCAATTCCATGGGGCTCTTCCCACAGAGCTGAAGATAAGGGCCACGCTTTTCTACCCAAACACCCAGAAATGAGAGTGGGAAAGTAGATGGGGGTCTAACAGTCCCCCCCATCCGCCTCTGAGCCCCCCAGAAATGCACCTGTCTTTCACGTCCAGCTTAACATAAGCGTGAGCCAGTCCGTTGCCCGTCTTACACAGCAGCGAAAGGCCTTCCTTCAGCAAGGCCTCCGTCAGGGGGTTGGGCATCCACTAAAACAGGAAGATCAGTCAGAACACGTGTCTCTCCCAGCCTGGGGCTTGAACTCAGGGCCTGGGCGCTGTCCCTGAGCTTCTTTTGCTCAAGGCTGGCGCTCTACCCCTTGAGCCACAGCACCACTTCCTGCTTTTTGCTGGTTCATTGGAGACAAGAATCTCATGGACTGGCCTGCCCGGGCTGGCTTTGAACCTTGATCCTCAGACCTCAGCCTCCTGAGCAGCTGGGGTGACAGGTGTACCCCACTGGGCTCCTAGTCCCCAGGCCCAGGACCCTTTCTGGGCTCTCACTTCCTCTGAGGACTCCTCCACGTCCTTCCTGAACTCCTCAGACTCCTCCGTCTCCTTCTCCTCCTCATCTTCTCTCTCCAGATCCTCCTGGTCCGGCTCATATTCATCCAGGTCATCTTCATCCGACATCTTTGTCCCGAGTGGAAGATGGAAGGTTCTGACGTCAGATCCAACTCAGTCCTTCTGAGAAAGGAGGTCTGCGTTTCCATCAACTTTCACATCCTTCCCTGCCATTGGCAGGTACCCTGCCCCGGCCTCCATCGCCCCCGCCTCCATCGCCCCCGCCTCCATCGCCCCCGCCTCCATCGCCCCGGCCTCCACCGCCCCAGCCTCCACCGCCCCGGCCTCCATCGCCCCTGACCTCTACCACCCCAGCCTCCACCACCCCTGCCTCCATCGCCCCTGCCTTCATTGCCCAGGCCTCCATCGCCTCCGGCCTCCATCGCCCCGGCCTCCATCACCCCTGACCTCCACCACCCCGGCCTCCATCGCCTCGGCCTCCATCACCCCGGCCTTCACTGCCCCTGCCTCTATTGCCCTGGCCTCCATCACCCCTGACCTCCACCGCCCTGGACCTCCATCGCCCCGGACCTCCATCACCCCGCTCTCATCTTTAGGAAGTGTCTGTCTGTCTCATTTTAGGCAGTTGTGGGGCTTGAACTCAGGGCCTGGGCGCTGTCCCTCAGCTCTTCAGCTCAAGGCTGGCGCTCTACCACTTGAGCCACAGCGCCACTTCCAGTTTTCTGGTGGTTCATTGGAGACCAGAGTCTCATGGACTTTCCTTCCCAGGCTGGCTTTGAACCACAATCCTCAGATCTCAGCCTCCTGAGTAGCTAGAATGCCAGGCGGGAGCCACCGGTGCCTGGTGAAGTCTCTTTAGATTCCCAACTTCTTCCTTTTTTCCCTCCTGCCAGTCCTAGGACTTGAACCCAGGGCCTGGGCACTGTCTTGAGATGTTTTTACTCTAAGCTGATGCTTTACCACTTACGCTTCAGCCCTACTTCCAGCTTATTTTTGTTGGTTTACTGGACACAAGAGGCTCATGGAACCACATGCCAGTGGTTCACACAAATCACCTCAGCTGCTCAGGAGGCTGAAATCTGAAGGTTACAGTTCAAAGTCAGCCTGGGTGGGAAAGTCCACAAGACTTTGTTGTTGTTGTTGGTGGTGGTGGTGGTGGTAGGGCCTGAACTCTGGGCCTGGGCGCTGTCCCTCAGCTCTTCAGCTCAAGGCTGGCGCTCTACCACCTGAGCCACAGTGCCACTTCGGACTTTTTCTGTTTATGTGGGGCTGAGGAATCGAACGCACGGCTTCATGCATGCAAGGTAAGCGCTCTACCACTGAGTCCCCTTCCCAGGCCCCCCACAAGACTCTTATCTCCAATGAACCACCAGAAAACTGGAAGTGGCGCTGTGGCTCAAGTGTATAGAGCGCTCGCCTTGAGCTGAGGAGCTGAGGGACAGCGCCCAGGCCCAGAGTTCAAACCCCACCACTGAAAAAAAAAAAGTCTCATGCACTTTCCTGCCTGGGCTGGTTTCCAACCTCCATCCTCAGATCCCAGCTTTGTGAGTGGCTGGGATTACAGGCCGGTACCAATGGTGTGGGGCACTCTAACCCTTCCTGCTTTCCATCAAGGACCCTGCTGCTTCTAGGGTGCGTTCCCGGACCCCCAGCCTTTCCTGTCTTTCCCAGGGGCCCCAACTCTCATCTGGAAACCCAGACTCCATGCCAACCCCTGAAGCCAACCCCTCCTTCAATCTCCCCTCCCAACTCCTCTTCCCCCCTCCTCCCCTTCCTCCTCCTCTCCCTCCTCCTCCTCTTCCAAAAACTCCTACTCCCCTTCCTCCCCTCCCTCCTCCCCCCTCCCCTCCCTCCTCCCCCCTCCCTCCTCTCCCCCTTCCTCCTCTCCCTCCTCCTCCCCCTCCCCTCCCCCTTCTCTCCTCCTCCCCTCCCTCCTCTCCCTCCCCTCCCTCCTCTTCCAGTCCCTCCTCCCTCCTCCCCTCCCTCCCCCTCCTCCTCCCTCTCCCTCCTCTTCCAGTCCCTCCTCCTCCCCCTCCTCCCTTCCTCCTCCCCCTCCCTCCTCTCCCCTCCCTCTCCTCCCTCCCCTCCTCCCTCCCCCATCGCCTCCCCCTCCTCCCTCCTCCCTCCCTCCTCCTCTCCTTCCTCCCTCCCCTCCTCCCCCCTCTCCTCCCTCCTCTCCCCCTCCTCCCCTCCCTCCCCTCCTCCCTCCCCTCCTCCCCCCCTCCCCCGCCATCGCCTCCCCCCACACACCCCGGCCAGTGCCGGGCCCGGCCCCTCGGGGTGACTCCGTTTAACGCTCCCCGCTCGCTCAGCCCGCTCCGGCTCGGCCCACCCGCTCCCCGGGCTGCGGGCGCTGCTGCGGGGCCGCCGGGTCCTGGGTCCCGTTGCTATGGCGACGGGGGCGGAGCCCCGGCTGTGTCCCGTTGCTATGGCGACGGGGGCGGAGCCCGGCTGCGGCCGTTAACCGCACGCCCACCCCTGCGTGGGCGGACCCGTCGTTGCCGGGTTACCAACCCAGGAACCCGGATGTGGCACCTAACAGGGTCGCGGCTCCTTCACGGTCGGAGGACACAAAATAGCGGGCGGGGCCGCCACCGCCCCAGCGCCCACAGCACAGCCGGGGATTGGGCAGCCGGCTCCTCCCAGGGGCGGCTGGAGAGGCAGGAAATAACCAATCAAAGCGCCTCTCTAGGTGGCTCAGTGGTAGAGCGCTCGCCTCGCATGCAGCAGGCCCTGGGTTCGATTCCTCAGCACCCCATAGGCAGAAAAAGCTGGAAGTGGCGCTGTGGTTCAGGTGGTAGAGCGCCCGCCTGGAGCTGGCCCTGAGTGCAAATCCCAAGACTGTCCCCAAAGCTGGAAGAGCATGTAAAAAGCGTGTGCTGGGAGAGCAGGTGCGCTGCAGGCTGCAGGGAAGGGGGGCCTGGGGGGCAGGCAGAGCCCCATCCCAGCCAGGAGCCTGGAACTCAGCCTGGAAAGCCGTGGGGAGCCATGGAAAAAGCCTCCATCCTCTATGGAGTTGGCCAGGATGGAATCTGCTCTGAGTCACGAGATCTTCGCACCACGGGCTCCCCCGTGGCAGGGCCAGATGGAACAGACGGTCATATCTCAGCGAAGAAGTTTAAAAAACAAACAGGGAAGGATATACAGGTGCTGGGCCTGGGCGCGCTGTCCCTGAGCTTTGAGCCACAGTGCGACTTTCATGGACTTCCCTGCCCAGGCTGGCTTTGAACTGTGATCCTCAGGTCTCAGCCTCTTGAAGAGCTGGGATGGCAGGCGTGAGCACCGGCCTGGGCGCCTGGCAGGAGTACATTTCCTTTTGAACAATGTCACCCTGATCGTGTGATTTCTAGTGGCAGAGCATCAGCCTTGAGTTCACAGCCTGCTGTAGACAGTGAGTTCATTTTTCTTTTTTTTAGCCAGTCATGGGGCCTGAACTCTGGGCCTGGGCGCTGTCCCTCAGCTCTTCAGCTCAAGGCTAGCGCTCTACCATTTGAGCCACAGCGCCACTTCCAGCTTTTTCTGCTTATGTGGTGCTCAGGAATCGAACCCAGGGCCTCATGCATGCAAGGCAAGTGCTCTACCACTGAGCCACCTTCCCAGCCCGTAGACAGTGAGTTCAACACACACACACAAGAAAGGCTGGAGGCCTAGCTCAAATGGTAGACCATTTGCCCAGCAAGAGTGAGGCCCTGAGGGGGCTGGGCAGGTGGCTCAGTGGTAGAGCGCTTGCCTTGCATGCCTGAGGTCCTGGGTTCGATTCCTCAGCACCACATAAGCAAAAAGAAAAAAAACGCCGGAAGTGGCGCTGTGGCTCAAGTGGTAGAGCGCTCGCCTTGAGCTGAAGAGCTGAGGGACAGCGCCCAGGCCCCGAGTTCAGGCCCCACGACCAGACCCCCCCCCTAAAAAAAGAGTGAGGCCCTGAGTTCAATTCTTAGTATGGACAAAACATCTAGATGAATGGATAGATTAAGAACAAGCAAGAACATTCCTTGGAGCCAGGCTTCTGGGAGATTATCCCAGGGTTTGGGGTTCCCAGCGTAGATGAGGGGTGGCTATTGTAATGAGTGTAGTAGGTAGGTCATAGGGCTTGAACTCAGGACCCTGAACTCAAGGCTGGCGCTCTACCACTTGAGCCACAGCTACCCTTCCAGCTCTTCGATGTTTCCTTTCCTGCCCAGGCTGGCTTTGAACCGCGATCCTCAGGCCGGGATGACAGGCGGGAGCCGCCGGCTGTGTCCCTCACCTCCCTCTTGCTCACCCTCTCAGCCTCCTGGCCTGATCCAGAACGTTCCGGGAAGTAGAAACCGGGCTGGGCTGGTTCAGCACCTGTCAATGAGGGAAGGGTCAGGGACCGAGTTCGAGTCCTGGTCTCTGAGCTTCAATAGGGAGAGAGCGATCCAGCCAGCTCCGGATGCAGAGGCGAGGAGCCAGGCGAAGCGGGGAGCCTAGACGGCAGGGGCTGAGGGGAAAGATGGGGGGCTGCACAGGGCGGGGGGGGGGGGGGGGGGGGGCGCGGCGGGGCTGAGCCGCCAGGACGGCGCCCCGGCCCGCCTGGCCACACGGGGGCGCGCGCGACGCTCGCTTCCGGGAGGCCCCGCCCCCCCACGTCACCACGTGATGCCCTGCCCTGCGTACTCAGCGTGCGTCGCCCCGCCCTTCAGCAGCCGGCAGCCCGTCTGTATGAGTAGCAAATGGACGTCTGGGGGCGGGGCCAGCGGTTGATCCCTCCCGGTGGGCGGGGCCACCCACCCGGTGGGCGGGGCCGGGAATCGCAGGTTTGCAAATGTCCTCTGTCGCCATTTCCTCAGCTGCGTTGGTTTGGGAAGTGGTGTGCGTGCGCGTGCGCGTGTGTGTGTCCTAGGGCTTGAACTCAGGGCTCCCCCCCCCTCCCCCAGCAGGCAGCTCTGATTCCCATCAAAGAGAGATTTGCTGGGTTAGGAAGAATTACAATGTGCACGTTGTGCACATCCTGTGATTTTTCTTTGTGCGGCTTTTCTTTTCTTTTTTTATTTTGCCAGTCATGGGGCCTGAACTCTGGGCCTGGGCGCTGTCCCTCAGCTCTTCAGCTCAAGGCTAGCACTCTACCACTTGAGCCACAGCGCCACTTCTGGCTTTTTCTGCTTATGTGGTGCTGAGGAATTGAACCCAGGGCCTCATGCATGCAAGACAAGCACTCTACCACTGAGCCACCTGCCCAGCCCGCGGCTTTGCTTTTCTTGTTTATAGTTTCTGTCTTTTGGAGGCTGGTTCTGGGGCTCGAACCCTGAGTTCAAACTGGGAGATTCTTAGCTCCCCTAAACTACCAAAAAGCCAGAAATGGAGCTGTGGCACAAGTGGTAGAGTGCTAGCTTTTTACTATCATCCAGGCCCTAAGTTCAAGCTCCAGGAAAGGCAACACACACACACACACACACACACACACACAAAACCAAGCAGTGCTGTATTTAAACCCCAGTATGGGCACACACACAAAAAATTTAGCCAGGTGCTGGTGGGTCAAGCCTGTCATTCGAGCTACTAAGTAGGCTGGAATCTGAGGATCTTGGTTCAAGGCCAGCCCGGGCAGCAAAGTCTGTGAGACTGTGATCTCCTATTAACCACCGGAAAACCAGAAGTGGTGCTGTGGCTCAAGGGGGTAGAGCGCCAGCCTTGAGCAGAAAAGCTCAGAGAAAGCACCCAGGCCCGGAGTTCTTTTTATTTTTTTCTTTTGGCCAGTCCTGGGCCTATTGACAGGGCCACTTCCAGCTTTTTTCTGTGTATGTGGTGCTGAGGAATGGAACCCAGGGCTTTCTGCATGCTAGGCGAGCGCTCTACCACTGAGCCACCTGCCCAGTCCAGGCCCTGGGCTCTAAGTTCTGAGATCCACAGCTCTGGAAAGGGTTGGCACCCCGTGTGGAGGCCTCACGGGGACCTATGAAATCTGAGCCTGGACCAGAGCTGGGAAGCGAGCCAAGGGGATCCTCTGAGACACACCCTGAGCCTTGGGGGGGTGTGGCTGGGGTGCTGCAGATTATCCTGGGGTGCGCAAAGGTCTCCAGGGCCCTGGGATCCCAGGGCGATGAGGTCATTGAAAGGTGAACCCTGAGTCTTGGCTGCCCAGAGGCCTAAGCCCGGCTGGCGGGGGAGGTGGGGGGGAATGGGGCTGGGGAAGAGACTGGGGCCTGGAACAGAGACCAGGGAAGAGGGCAGCGGAGTGGGCGTGGCAAGGGGCGTGGTCTAGAGCGGCTGCCCCCCCACAAGGGTGTGGTTTGACAATGCTCCTCCTCATGTGGGCGTGGCTCCGGCCTGGAGCCGAGCCCAGGGTGGAGGCTAGCGGAGCGGGCGTGGTCTAGAGATGGAAGCGTCGCGAGGGCGTGGTCTGACGATGCTCCTCCCCGCGTGGGCGTGTCCTCGGAGGGCGTGTCCTCGGCCAGGTGCGCGCTGGAGCTTAGGGAGAGGCTGCTGGGGTTCTAGAGCTCTCTGCTATGCTGTGGGGGGCCCGAACCCCGTACTGCCTGGAAGGAAAAGCGAGTGAGAGGCCTGGGGGATTTCCCATCACTGCTGGCCGTGGTTTGGGTGGAAACGGTGGCACAGATCAGAGAGGGGTTGGACCTTCATCTGACCGGCCTAGGATTCCGGTTCGTGTCCAGGCCTGGCACTGGTGGCTCACACCTGTAATCCCAGCTACTGAAGAGGCTGAGGACTGAGGATCGTGGTCTGAAGCCAGCTCCAACAGGTTAAACCCTTGAGAATCTGATCTCCGATTACCCAGTCCCCCTCCCCCCAAAAAAGCCAGAAGTGGCGCTGTGGCTCAAGTGGTAGAGCGCCAGCCTTGAGCAAAAGCAGCTCAGGGACAGAGCTCGGGCCCTGAGTTCCAGCCCCAGCACCAACAAGAGAAATAAAACGGTGAAATACATAGCAGGCTTCGCCAGGATTCGGGGTGTGTGCCCCATTCTCTGCGTTTGCTCCTCCTGGGTCACACCCTGACTTTGCTTCCACAGGCCAATTCCAGGGGGAGCCCTGGAGGGCCCCCCCACCAAGAAGGAGTGTTTTGGAGGCGGGACCTAGTGGCCGATCAGATCACCGGGCTTTGTGATTGGACGAGCCGGCGCTAGCCCTTCCCTCCGGCATGCGTGCTGATCCATGCAGAATGACACCCATCCTGCCCGTCACTCCAGCCCAGCTCTAGTCCCTGAGCCTCTTTTGCTCAAGGCTGGTGCTCTACCACTTGAACCACAGCCCCACTTCCAGCTTTTTGGTAGCTCATTGCAGAGATTTCGAGTCTCAAAGAAAGTCTGACTTTCCTGACCTTGCTGGCTTTGAAGCAAGATCTTCAGCTCTCAGCCTCCTGAGTAGCTGGGGCGACAGGCGGGAGCCACCGGTGCCCGATCTCCTGCACCCCTGATCTTCCCCTCCTGGCGGAACCACCCACGTGGTGCAGTGCATCTGCTCTGCCTTTACCTCGTCATGAAGTAGTAGCTCAATGAACAGCCCTGACTGACACAAAGCCTACCATCCCCCCTCCTTTTTAGGGGGTGAAGAGAGGCCATTGCTGAGGGTGGTACTACTTCAAAGCCAGCAATGGGCGGGTGTGGGGGGAGAGGGTGCTGGCCCCACCCTCTGAAAGGCTCCACCAACCCAGAGGGTTGAGGGCAGATAGAGAATCATTAGTCTTAATGTGTTTTGTTCCAGACTGGTACCCTAACAGGTGAGCCACATCTCTACTTCTGGCTTTTTTGCTGCTTAACTGGAGATAATCAAGGATTCGTCTGCCTGGGCCGGATTGGACTGCGATTCTCACAGCTCAGCCTCTTGAGTAGCTAGGATCACAGCTGAGACCCCAGCACTCAACTGAAACCTGTTTGATCTCTCATAAGGGATAAAAACAGGCACCCGTGGCTCAAGCCTGTAATCCCGGCTACTGAGGAGGCTGAGATTTGAGGATTGTGTCTCAAGGCCCGCGCCTGCAGGAAAAGGCTACAAGCCCCTTACCTCCAAGGAATCAGCAAAAAGCGGGATCTGGAGACGTGGCTCAAGTGGAAGAGCACCAGCCTGGAGCAGAAAGACTAAAGAGCTCAAATGTGGCCAAAAAACCACAAATGAATACATCCAGCAAGGGATAAAGCTGTGTGATTCTCCGCAAGGAAAGAGTTGGTATGAAGGTGGAAAATAGAACAGCAGCCCCGAGGCTCTAGTGCCAGGTGTTTATTTCATACGGGGTTGACGGACGCGCACAGATGGACACACGCATGCGCACTGCGGGAGGCCTGGCAGCTCTGGCCTCCCCGGGGAGACGGGCCCCATGGTGACCAGGAGGGCGTGGTTTCGCTCCCCCGCCCTCCCCTGGGTGGGAGGGGGCGGGGGCACTCCGCAGGCCTCACTGGGCCGAGGCGAGCCTCGTCGGTGCCGCGCTTAGTTCAGGCGGTAAAGCGACTGGCCTGGTCAGTCGGGGGCAGATGATGTCATCAGAAGCACGGGGAAGGGTGGGGGCCCCGACTGGGGGTCGTGACCCCGGCTTCGCTCCAGGGCGGGAGGTGGTGCGGTGTCTATTGCTTGGCCTTGATGATGTCCACGAATTCCGGCTTGAGGGAGGCGCCGCCCACCAGGAAGCCGTCCACGTCGGGCTGGCTGGCCAGCTCCTTGCACGTGGCTCCAGTGACGGAGCCTGCGGGCAGGGGCGGGGCGAGGGGCGTGGTCAGGGCAATGGCGATTGGTCGGTGGCTGGGCCCCAGCCAGAAATGGGAGGGGCCTGGTCATGATGGGTGGGGTTTAACCAGGGCTGCAACAGGATTGGTCAGGTTGGGCTTAGTCACAGCCGACAGATTGGTCAAGGTAGGTGGGACTTAATCACAAACGGGAGGGTCTGGTTATGGTGGGTGGGGCTTAGGGCGGGGAGGGGCTTGATCAGTGACGATGGAGGACTGGTCATGGGTGGAGCTTAGTCACAAATGGCAGTCTGGTCCTGATGGGTGGAGCTTAGCACTGGGAGGGGCCTGGCCCGGGATAACGGACTGGCCAGAGTGGGAGGGGCTTGGTCAGTGATGATAGAGGATTGGTCCTGGGTGCGGCTTAGTCACAAATGGGAGGGTTTGGTCATGGTGGGTGGGGTTTAGGGCTGGGCGGGGCTTGGGGGTGGTGATAGAGGATTGGTCAGTGATGATAGGACTAGTCAAAGTGGGTGGGGCTTAGTGATGATAGATTGGTCATGGGTGGGGCTTAGTCACATGAGAGTGTGGTCCTGATGGGAGGGGCTTGGCTGGGGATGGTAATGGACTGGCCGGGGTGGGCTGGGCTTGGCCAGGGCTGGGCGCCGGGCACCCCATTCTCACCGCCCATCACAGAGCACTTGGTCCTCTTCTCCAGGTACCCCAAACCAACTCACCTCCATAAATGATGCGGGTGTTCTTGGCCACGTCCTCGGAGACATTGGACTTGAGCCATCCCCGGAGTTTCTCATGCACTTCTTGGGCCTAGAGCAACGAGAGGAACGGAAAGTCCTGCGTGAATCAGAGGAAAACCACCGACACCCGTGGAAAGTTCCTCTGGTTTCTTTCTAGGCAAGAGCCTTGGGACCTGAACTGCAAACATCAGAGCTCTAATCCCAGCTTGGGCGCTGGTATGGAAGTCTTAGTGAAGTCATTGGAGGCCAAGGGGGCTTCGCTTCCTGTTTGTTTGTTTCTGCGCCAGCTCTGGGTTCTGAGTTCAAGTCCAGTCAAGGCTGGCACTCTACCACACAAGCCACATTCCCACTTGCAGCTTTTCTGGTGGTTCACTGGGCCTAAGAGGCTCACAGACTTTTCTGCCTGGCCTGGCTTTGAACTGAGATCCTCAGATCTCAGCCTCCAATGTGGCTCCGATGACAGGCGTGAGCCACCAGTGCTTGGCCGAACTCCTGGGCTGTTACCTGTTGAGGGGTGGCCGTCTTGCCGGTACCAATCGCCCACACAGGCTCGTAGGCCAGGACAACCTTGCTCCAATCCTTCACGTTATCTGCAGGAGGAAGATCGCAGATGGGTGGGGGAAGCAGCCTCAGCCCCTGAGGTAGGAAGAATGATGGTGGCCTGCTGCCCCCTGGTGGCCCATGCAAGACCTACAGGTGGCACGTGGTCTTTGCAGGGGCTGGGGCAGAAATGACTGATTTCAGCACCAGGCCATAGGAGCCCTTCCTTTTCCTGGACAGCCAGCCTGAGGCCAGGCAGGCTGGGGAGTTTTTGGTCCCCCCCAAAAAGTGTACCCCCTTTTCAGCAATACCTGCGATGACCTTGGTTTGTTCAAAAACGACCTTCTCGGTGATGCCCGCTTCCCTCTCATCCAGCTTCTCGCCGATGCAGGCGATGACGCCCAGGCCTTCGGACAGGGCGTGGGCTACTTTCTGCCCAATCAGCTGTGGACGAACAGATTCGGTGAATAAAGCATTTTTGTTCTCTTTTTGTGCCTGTCCCGGGCCCCTGTTGTCCCTGAGTTTTGTTGTTTTTGGCCATCCATGTCAGGGCAGCTGGGCCCAGGCTGGCTTTGCACCTAGATCCTCAGATCTCAGCCTCCTGGGAAGCTGGGATTACAGGTGTGCGCACCAGTGCCCGGGCAAACGTCAATCCGTCTCCTCATCCCTCACCTCGTCTGATTCCCCGAAGACGTGTCTTCTCTCTGAGTGGCCCAGGACCACCCACGTGGCTCCACAATCTTTGATCATGCCAGGGCTGAGGGGGAGAGAAGCAAACCAGGGTTCAGCACGGCGGCAAGTCGGGGACCGGCCTTCAACCCACCCATCATCCGCTTCCGTCTCACCTGATCTCCCCCGTGAAGGCGCCGTTGGGTACTTTGTAGCAGTTCTGAGCGGCCACAGCTATCTTGCAATCCAGCTTCTGCCTGGCATAGTCGATGTAGGCAGTGGGGGCCGCACAAACCACCTCTGAGGAGGAGGAAGAGCAGAGAGGGGCCTTCAGTGGCTGCCCAGAGCCCTCAGCCCCTCCACGCTCCAACACGATGACCTTTGCCTACTTCCCAGCCTAGGCCGGGCCTGCACCCAGCTCCTGGCCAAGGCCCCTAACCCAGCCCGGGCCCTCCCCTTGCCCTCTGCACTTTCTGATCGGCCAGATCTCCAATTTCCCCGGGCTATTCTGGGCGCGGGCACCTCCCAGACTCAGCATTCCTTGGGGGCCAACCCAGGGAGTATTTCCCTTCTGAAATAGCTTAGCTCCACTCTCCGGCCAGGCCAGCGTTTTTAGATAAGAAGAAAAAAGGGGGAGGGGGCAAGGCGTGGGTCTTTGGGGGCATCAACGCCCCCGTGATGAGAGCCGGGGCTCTGGGCTCCGGGTGGGCGGGCAGGGTGGAGAGGAGGCCCGGCGCTTCCCGGTTCCGAGCCGGGGCTCGATCCCCACACTCCTACGGCTCAGGCCTGTGGGGAGGGGCGGTGGGAGACCCCCCCCCACGTCCTCCTAGGGTGCCCGGGGGCTGGCGGCCCGGCCGGGCGGGGCGCGGGGAGGAGCCGGGCCGGCTACGTGCGGCGGCGCACGGAGCGGAGGCCGCGCGGCCCGGCCTCGCCCCCGCGCCTCGGGGGGCCCGGGGTCCGCGCCTCCCCCCACCCGCGGCTTCAGGGGGGCTGGGGTTCGGCTTCCCCCACATAGCGAGGGCTGCGACCGACTTCCGATCGCCCACAGCGCCTGCCCCGTGCGGCCTCGGGCCCGGGCTAGGAGCCACCTTCCTCCGGGGGGCCCGGGAAGCCGCTTCCCGCGCGGCGGGCCCCGGGGATCGCGGGATCGCGGGCCTGCCCGGCTCCCCCGGCCTGCCCCGGCTCCCGGCCCCGGCTCCCCCGGCCTCCCTCGGCCTCCCCCGGCTCCTCCGGCCTCCCTCGGCTCCCAGCCCCGGCTCCCCCGGCTCCCGGCCCCGGCCCCCCCGGCCTGCCCCGGCTCCCCCGGCCTACCCCGGCTCCCGGCCCCGGCCCCCCGGCCTGCCCCGGCTCCCCCGGCCTCCCCCGGCTCCCCCGGCTCCCGGCTCCGGCTCCCCCGGCCGCCCCCGGCCTGCCCCGGCTCCCCCGGCCGCCCCCGGCTCCCGGCCCCGGCTCCCCCGGCCTCCCCCGGCTCCCGGCTCCGGCTCCCCCGGCCTCCCCCGGCTCCCGGCTCCGGCTCCCCCGGCCTCCCCCGGCCGCCCCCGGCTCCCGGCTCCGGCTCCCCCGGCCTCCCCCGGCCTGCCCCGGCCTCCCCCGGCCTCCCTCGGCTCCGGGCCCCGGCTCCCCCGGCCTCCCTCGGCCTCCCCGGCCTCCCCCGGCTCCCGGCCCCGGCTCCCCCGGCCTCCCTCGGCTCCCGGCCCCGGCTCCCCCGGCCTCCCCCGGCTCCCGGCCCCGGCTCCCTCGGCTCCCGGCCCCGGCTCCCCCGGCCTCCCTCGGCTCCCTCGGCTCCCGGCCCCGGCTCCCCCGGCCTCCCCCGGCTCCCGGCCCCGGCCTCCCCCGGCTCCCTCGGCCTCCCTCGGCTCCCGGCCCCGGCGCACCGGTGTCGGCGGGCAGCGCGGCCGCGTTCAGCGTGGCGATCAGCTCGCCCAGCGTCTTCTTGCGGCCGTTCATCTTCCAGTTGCCCCCGACGAAGAACTTCCTGCCCGGCGCCATGCTCGCACACTGCTCCTGAAGGTCAGCGGACGCGCTCGGCGACGGGCACGGGCCGCTCATATAGAGCGCGGCGAAGTGGAGCTCCGCCCTGCGCGAGCCCGCCATGCCCGCCCTCGGTCCGCCCCGGCCCGGCCCCGCTCCGCCCTCGGTCCGCCCCGGCCCGGCCCCGCTCCGCCCTCGGTCCGCCCCGGCCCGGCCCCGCTCCGCCCTCGGTCCGCCCCGGCCCGACGACAGCGTTCTGGCGTTCCTTTTCTCCTAGCAACGTTCTAGAGGGCGGGGCCAGAAGTGGGGCTGAAGGCGGGGTCGGGACGTGTAGGGGGCGGGGCAAGGCCGGACTCGGGACGTGCAGGGGCGGGGCCAGAGGCGGGGTCGGGCCTGCAGTGGGCAGGGTGAGGGCGGGGCCGGAGTCGGGACGTGCAGGGGCGGGGCCAGAGGCGGGGCTGGGACGTGTAGGGGCCGGAGTCTGGACGTGCAGGGGGCGGGGCAAGGCCGGACTCGGGACGCGCAGGGGCGGGGCCAGAGGCGGGGTCGGGCCTGCAGTGGGCAGGGTGAGGGCGGGGCCGGAGTCGGGACGTGCAGGGGGCGGGGCCAGGTCTCCCGGGTCTGTGGTCTCCACTGCCCCAGTTCCAGGAAGGGGACCCTGCGCCCAAGGGCCCCCCTTGTCTTCACCACCCACCCTGGCCCATGTGCCCTGGAGACCCAAAGGCCTGGGTACTGGTGACGCTGGGGGGACCCCCCACCCTTTCCCTCCGGTGTGCCGGGGCCCCACCCCGGCCTGGCGCTGTCCCCGAGCTCTTGGGCTCCGGCCTGGCGCTACCATTGAGCCACAGCCCAGCTTCCGGCCGGCCCTTTCCTGCCCGGGCTGGCTTTGAACCGCGGTCCTCCGATCTCAGCCTCCCCTTCCCGAGCCGGCCCCGGGGAGCCCGCGCTCCCGCACTTCCCCCCAGGACTCGGCAGACGCGACGCGGAACTTTGATTCACATCGTGTATTTTGGCATTTTCCAGAGAACAGGGAAGAAACGAGGTGGGGAGAGGGAGAGGGAGAGGGAGAGGGGGGGAGACTGAGGCAGGAGGGCGAAGGGGGGTCCCCGCGTCCCTCAAATCCCTCCTTGCCCACCCGCGCGCAGGACGCACACACACTCGCACGCACACGCACACACTCGCACACACGCACACAGTGGGGAGGGAGGCACAGGTTCCCTCTTCCCAAGGGCCCGCAAAGCCACGCCCACCGCCCGCCCCGCAAGTGAGACCCCGCCCCCACTTCCGGGGCGGGGCGGGGGAGCAGCAGAGCCCGGGAGGGGAGGCCAGCCAGCCAGGGACAGGGGCCGGCCGGGCCCCCTGCGGGCCCCCTCCTGGTCCCCCAAGTCTATCAGGGGGCCCTCCTCTTTGCCTGGTCAGTCTCCTGTGGCCTCCAGCTTCTTCCCTGCTGCTGGGGGCAAGAAGAAAGGGGGGGCCGGAGGAGCAGGGGGCCGGAGTCCAGCGCTGCCCCCGGCCTGTCCCCTGCGCCTGCGCGGCCGGGGTGGGCGGGCTCTAGGTGGACACTCTCTGGTAGAAGTAGATGTAGCCCAGGTCCTTGGGCGGCTTTTCCGACGCACACACTTTCTGGTCGTTGTAGATCACCCACCTGCAGACGACAGGGGGACACAGAAGGTGACCCCTGCTGTGTCCACCCTGCCTCTCCCAACACCCCGAGTCTAAGCCTGGACCCCCGCAGATCTCTGGCCTGACGCTGCAGTCCTGGGCTCTAGCGGATCTTGCAGTCAGCAACTGCTTCTGGGGCTAGTCCTGGGACTTAGCTCTGGGCCTCAGCACTGACCCTGAGTTTCTTCTGATCTAGGAGAGTGCTCTACCACTTGAGCCACAGCTCCACCTTGGGCTTTTTTTAGTAGCCTATTGGAAATAAAAGTCTAACAAAGCCAGGTGCTGGTGGCTCCCGCCTGTCATCCCAGCTACTTAGGAAGCTGAGATCTGAGGATCGTGGTTCAAAGCCAGCCCCGGGCAGGAAAGTCCATGAGACTCTGATCTCCAGTGAACCACCAGAAAACCAGAAGTGGCGCTGTGGCTCAAGAGGTAGAGCACCAGCCTTGAGCTGAAGAGCTGAGGGACAGCGCCCAGGCCCAGAGTTCAAGCCCCACGACTGACAAAAAATTTAAAAAAGTCTTCCAGACCTCCCTGTCTGGGCTGGCTTCAAACTTTAATAATCAAATCACAGCCTGGCTGAGATTACAGACGTGCACCATCAGCACCCAACTTAAAGCAATTAATGTGATTCTCATGTAATTACAGTCAGACCTACTCAGCACCTTAGGCTATAGGAAAATGGCCTGAACACACACTATACCTCTGTGTGGGCCACTACTGGGCCTTGGACTCAGGATCTAGACTGGGTTTTTCCACTCAAGGCTGGTGCTCTACCACTTGAGCCACAGCTCCACTTTCAGAGTTTGCTGGTTAACTGGAGATAAAAGTCTCATGGGCTTTTCTGCTGGGCTAGCTTCCAACCGGGATCCTTAGATCTCAGCCTCTGAGTGGGCAGGATTACAGGCGTGAGCAACTATGCTCAGGCCTTCTGGAGGAACAGAACATGCCGCCCTCCATGAGCATTTATGAAAGCGGAGGCCAGGCTGTGTTTTCTGGCTGTCCCAGCAGAGAGGAACAAAGGTCAGGAGACCTGAAGATCTCTGTCCTTCCACTCTGCCTCAGCTGCCCTTTGCGCTGTGTGTGTGCTTGTCCTGGGCCTTGAAGTCAGGGCCTGGGCTCCTGTCTCTGATCGTTTTCACTCAAGGCTCGGTGCTCTACCACTTGAGCCACACCTCCGCTCCTTTTTTTTGGTGGTTCACTGGCAGGAAGTCTCAGCCTTTTCTGCCCTGCTAACTTGAAACTCGGATGGTCAGCTCTCAGCTCTCTGATCAGCGGAGACTACAGGCGTGCGCTCCAATGCCTTGGCTAGTCCTTGACTTCTCCCACCGCATTCTAGGGGCGCGGCAGCGGCCCCCCCCCCCCCTGCAGCCCCTTACCTGCCCTCCTTCTTGATGTGGCAGACATAGTGGCCACACATGGTGGACGTGCCCATGTGGCTGATGAAGGCGAAGAGCTGATATTCTGGGGACGGAAAGTGGGGGTGTGGCTGAGGATGGGAAAGGGTCCCTCAAGGGACAGCTGCCTCCTGGGCCCCTCCCTTCTCGGGTTCATTCCGGGAAGCAGGGGCTGATGGGGGTCCTGTCTCCAGGGCCACTCACTTCCAGGCCCATCCCGGACTTTGGGCCCCACCGGGCCGGACTCGGAGATGGAGTCCGCGGCCGAGCGGCCCTCGGAGATGTCCATGGCGGCCTCGGCGTCCAGGTCGTCAATGTGGCTGAAGATCCAGTCCACCGCACGCTCTAGACTGTTGTTCTGGAAGGAGGCGGTGGCTTTAGGGGACCCCGGCAAGCCGGGGTGGGGGTGGTGTTGGGGGATGGGAACAAGCAGCCCCTCGGAGCCCCTACCGTGGCCCGCAGCGCCTTGAGGGCCTGGTCGCGGGAGAAGCCCATGGACACGATGGTGCTCACGCAGTCCTCGGGGGGCGGGTCCGCAGGCGTGCTCGTGGAGCCAGGCCCGCTAGAGCCAGGCAGGATGAGGGGGTTGGCGAAATCTGCCGAGGGGGGAAGGGGTTGGAGTGTGGGGGAGGCTGCAGGCCCCGCTCCGGGGCCCCCCAGGCCCGCGGCCTACCTGGATCGTCCATGTGCGACATGACCCAGTTCATGGCGGCCTCGGCGCCGCTGTTGCCCGTGTAGTAGACGGCCTTGCGGCAGGCGTCCATAGGGAACCCCATCTCCACCAGCTGGATGATGACCGACTCGTCCAGCATGGGAGCTGCGGGGGAAGGAGGGGGGCAGCAGGGGGGCCGGTCAGACCCCCGTCCCCATCCCTACCCCTGCCCCCACGCAAGCCACGCCCAGCCCCCACTCCGTGCATTATCTCCCCCCCCCAACATCGACTGGCACGTGTTCCAGAACTAAAAAGAAAACGCACAGCATCATGGGAGCCCCCTATCCCCAAGGCTATTGGCTTCCTGTCCGGGCTCACAGAAGGAGCCCCATTTCTGGAGCATGACACCCCAAGACAGCCCAATCCAACTGCTATCCACCCCCAGAATGCGGCTGGCACGGGGTAGGGGGGGCGGTGGCTCCCCCCCCTCCTCCCCCGTCACCCCAGCGGCTCAGGAGGCTGAGATCTGGGGATCATGGTTCCAAAGCCAGCCTGGGCCAGCAAAAAGCCAGAAGTGGAGCTGTGGCTCAAGGGGCAGAGCATGAGCCATGAGTGACAAAGCTCAGGGGCAGCGGCCAGTGTCAGGAATGGCATTATAAAAAAATATGTGGCTCTGAGCAGCCCACGGGGTCCCCAAGGCCATCAGGGGGGAGGGGGGAGGAAATGGGAGGCGGAGGAGAGGAGAAACACAAGGGGGGGGCAGGCAGAGCCCCCGTCAGCAGAGCGAGGCAGGCAGGAAGAAGAGGCACTAACATGTCGGAGAGGAGAAGTGAGGGGAGCAGAAGGAGTCCTCGTCTTCGTTGCCATAGAAACCAAGGCTACCTTTGGGCTCCTCCGGTGTGACGAGGGGCGGGGCGATGTCGGGCAGCTCCTCCTCCCCGGGCTGCAGCCCTGTGCCCCGCAGCTGCGAGATGTCCAGCTCCTCCGGCATCTCGATGGACACGTCTGCAAGGGGAAGGGACAGGACCACTGCAGCCGCCCCCCTGGGAGTCTCCAACCGGGCATGCGGTGCCCACCACCGTAACAGAAATGAGGGCCAAGCCGGGTGTCGGTGGCTCCCGCCTGTCATCCTAAGCTACTCAGGAGGCTGAGATCTGAGGATCGGGGTTCAAGGCCAGCCCAGGGCAGGAAAGTCCACGAGACTCTGATCTCCAAAGAACCACCAGAAAACTGGAAGTGGCGCTGTGGTTCAAGGGGTAGAGCGCCACCTATCTGTGACCCAATGAGGACTGAGTCACCTTCATAGAAAGACCCAGCCTCCAAAAAATCAATACCACTACCCAAAACCAC